TTTTCCCGTAGTGAGTGATTACAGGTCGAAAGACCCTGCAAACCTTGCAGTTGATACGTATACAGGAGCAGCTCTTGAAGTAGCCTCCATGCGGTACTACGAGATGTATGACATGCTAGGGACACTTGATGTATACTGATACCCGTATCGTCACCGACCACCTGTAGAATGTGTTATTCGTGGTCAAGCGTACGAGCGGATGCTTCTCTTCCTCGATACGTAGTTTCTGGTGTTGCGGATCCTGTTTCAGCAACATGAAAATAAACAACAGCAAAGGTTGGATGACACAACGCAATCTGAAACAGCCGTGCAGTCTCGCGTCCATTACCATTCGCGCGGACGTATGTAAAATCATATCTGCCTGCTCACGATATGAATTTCCTACCATTGTTAAATGGAAAACTTCTTAGTTAACTCACTACGGCACACGTTAAACGTTGAAAACAGACTAGACACAAATGTACACGAATGACAAATGTAACATAGTCTACATAGCAATACAGCGCCATCTACCGTAAACTTTCTTTAAACTTAATAACTCAAAAACGAAGGATTTGTCGACATATCTTTATACGGACTTTTGTCTTTGTTTCCCAAAGTTTATAAATGTATATTTGATGTGTGAAGTGCGGTTAAGCAGGAAACAGACTCTTGTCGCTGGGTGTTGACCTTAAAGTCCACTTCCATATAATTGTCCAAATCGTGTAACAGCATGGGATAATTGTCCATCCCAGAAAATGTTTAATATCTAAGAAACACTAAACTAATTGAGTTTGTTTTGACCAGATTTTCAAATAAAAGGTTTAGTCATATTGATACCATTTGTCGTATTGAAAAACTTTTCGAGTTATTCAACTAGAAAGAAAACAGGTCAAAATCATTTTGCGTCAGCCCGACTACGTCTTCCTAACTGAGCAATGGTGAGAGGAAATAGATCATTCAGGTCTTCAGTAATGGTAGCAACATTCATAATATAGCTTCCATCTTAATTATCCATTCAAGAACCATTAAGAGAACTGTGAATAACTATAAAAAGAGGGAACAGTAGACAGGAAAACTGAATGAGGAGGTCACAACAGCAAGAGGGTCATCATTTCACCTTAGCGCTAAAAACAGTTTTATTATTCAAAGTAGAGTTCAATAGTGTTACAAAATCCTCAGAGAATTCCAGTAAGATATCTTTAATCGTTTCTATGATACAACGGTTCAAAACTTAATCTCACAATAGAACAATTTTGGTGTTACACGATTTAAACAATTTTGCGGTTACATCCGGTACATACAGTCTATCCCTGATATATATATATATATATATATATATATATATATATATTTGCTTAAACGTTATTTTTTAATCTGTATGTAGACAGAGACAGACAAAGAAACAGAGAGAGAGAGAGAGAGAGAGAGAGAGAGAGAGAGAGGAGAATGACAGGAGAAATAAAGAGATAGACAAATGTAGATATAGAGAGAAGAGAGTGAAAATTAAAGACAGGGATAGACAGCAACTGGCAAAATGTTACTTATACACATATTAATATATATTTACATATATAAATATAACAGAATATCTGACTCTCTTTTCTCTTCTCTGTCTGTCTGTCTTCCTTCCTTGTTTCCTTCCTTCCTTCCTTCCTCCCGCTCTCTCTCTCTCTCTCTCACACACACACACACACACACACACACAATATATATATATATATATATATATATATATATATATATATATATATATATATGATCGATAAGCTTGTCAGATAAAGTAGAGCTTTTGAGCTTTATTATATAAGCTTGGTTTAAATTAAGATAACATTGCATATATATATATATATATATATATATATATATATATATATATATATATATATATATATATATATATATATATATATATATATAAAAGGTACTGGATATTAATAATCTAATGATATATATATATTTGGAATATAAATATCCAGTACCCTTATATATATATATATATATATATATATATATATATATATATATATATATATATATATATATATATATTAAATGTATTTATATTAAAGTGAATTTTTTGTATTAGTGGTGATCTTGTCTGTAAGCTGACTCTGTTATTAAGTGTTGTCCCTCGATTCTACTTCCAACCAAAATCTCTTTTTCTCTTGTTTCCGATTCGAATCACAGCCCCCAGGATCTAATGCTAAATTATTCACTATAATTAGGAAAATCGCCAGCGAAGATAAGCGCTGAAATTATTATTCCGTGCGAACCAAAAAAGAAAAAGACCTCTGTAGATCTTGTATGAGAACGAACATATTATTACAAATAGCAAATGTGGAAATGTTTATCTTCTATGCGCCATTGACGATCATGGCTCTCCACAATTTCCTCTCCTTTGTAACTCTTCATATAATTTTAATTTTTTGTTATTTCCCCCTTGTTCCCTCATTCATTTGCCCAAGCTCGTTATTTTTTTATCATCTGTGTCCTTTCAAGACTTTGGCGTTCATGACACTCCACAACTTCCTGCTCTTTATAGATCTTAATATATTTTTGATTTTTTTTTTATCAATCCCAAAAATTGTTCCACACCATCTATTTGCTCAATACTCGGTATTCTTTTTTATCATTCGTTTCGCTTCAGAACTTTGACGATCATGGCTCTCCACAATTTCCTGCCCTTTATACCTGTTATATTTTTTGACTTTTTGTTATCTCCCAAAACCATGTTCCACCATCTATTTACTCGAGCTCTTTCTTCTTCGTTTATAATCCGTGTCTTTTGGAGGTGCTGTCGATCATGGCTCTCCACAATTTCGTGCCCTCTGTAGCTCTTAATATATTTTGACGTTTTGTTATCTCTCTAAACATTGCACGATACGTTATGCGTCGTTTTCCTCTATCCTCCTTTGGCCTTCAATCTGTCCTGTGAGTATCAAATTTCCCAAGCCTTCTTTCCTAATTAAGTGCTATAGAAATTTCAGCTGTCTCTTCGTGATATTAAGTAGATTGTCCTTTTTGTTTCCATTTTCTCTAAAACTTCGTCTTTGCTCACATGTTTGATCCATCAGCAATCTTCTGTGGAACTGGAGTCTGGCAACTGAACTATTCTTTGTTTCTTCACGTAGCATACCGCGCGTTTTCCCAGTCATACTGAACGGGTGTAATATCAATGAGGTTTCTTGCCTGGAATGTCCATTGAGACTCCAGCTGACACCAGACGCCAAGCGGAATTTATGTATTCGATCCATCGCTAAAGAGGCTGAAAATAATAGTCGGTTCTTTCGAATGCTCTAGGGGTGACGGGTAGCTACTCTACCACTATTTTAATGGTAGAGTTCAACCGAACTATGACCCTCAGAACATCGCAACTACACCCTTGTGCATATTCATTGAAACAACCGCTTTAGTTTACTTTCTTTCAGTAGGCAGTCAGTTTTTAAACCCCCTGGACTGACAGGGTGTAATCGATTTCTATTTTTTACTCACATTAGGTCATTTGCAGTGGTGTGCAATAATATGAATTTATTTTCAGGCTGTATGAAGAAATTTGTTTGCCCTTGAAAGTATTGCGTCATCCGTGATTGAATGAGATTTTTATCACGCCCAGACACTGTTGTCTCGACTATCGATTAGTTGTTCAACGGCCATTTTCTGCTATGGATGTTGCTCCAAGGAAGCGTACGAAAATTCTAACGCTGCACGAACACATTGGCAAGCCTTACCAGTGAGCAAATCAAAGTATTATAGACTGGCCTGGAAACTCTCCCGATTTAAATCCACTCGAGAATCTGTGGTCAATCTGCAAAGAACGACTTCGTGGAATGGACACACGAAGTACTAACATGCGCACTGGGTCATGTTTCATTGGTAAAATACGAAAAAATAGTAATCTAACTATTCGTTATGTTTCATGGCCTTCCACATCTTCCTATGTAATTGAGTTTGCACAAGAGTGTAGGAAATGACATGCCTCAAATACAGGTTCAAATCAGCCTATTTCTCTTCACATAATATTCTTAGAGGACATTAAACTTCTTCGTCAGAACTGTTAAGTTACGGAACGGACTCCCGAAAGGATGCTCCTGCAATCACTACAGTCATACTCTCTTCATATTTAGGATTGGTAGAGCGTGAAGAAGGGGCTAAACATAAACTACAAGAAAACAATGCATGGTCATCAGTAAAAAGATGAGCCCGAAATGCGATTTGCAGGTTGAGAACACTAGAATCAAGTAGTTTCGGCAGTTTAAATATCTGGAAAGCGTTCTGACAGAGGACGGTAAATGTGACACAGAGATCCGTAGACATATTGGGATGGCCAAGGACCCATTCCAAAAGCTGGGTAAAGTATTACGAGACAGTAGGATTTCTTTGGTAACAAAGAAAAGAATACTGAACTGTTACGTGACATCTGTTCTTCTTTATGGCAGCGAATGTTGGACGAGTTCCCCAAAGATGAAGAAGAGACTCGAGTTGATGGAGATGTGGTTCTGTAGAAACATGCTAATGATATCATGGACCAAGCGCGTGAGCAACGATGAGGTCTTGGAAGAGGATAAGAACAAAGAGAAGGCTTTTACTTAATATCAGCAAGAGGTAGCTGCAATCCCTGGGAGACATAATGAGGAAGAAAGGCCTGGAGAATCCAATACGCACGGGTCAAATAGAGGGAAAGAGAGAAACAACGCGAGGCATACCTAGCGGCCTTAAGCAAGTGGATGAGAGAACATGGTCTGGTGGGTGGCAGAAGGAAGGAACTTATTGAGAGCTGCAAGGGATAGAGGGAGGTGGAGAGCCATGATCACCTACGGCCTGAAAGGACACGGCACATAGAAAGAAGAAAGAATTATCTATATATACTTTTTATATGGACATGTTATTCATGCCTTGTACATCTTTACATTCAGTGAGGCTTTACCTTGATGGACTCATTGGCCTTGCATTGTGTAATGTATTTTATTTTTTTAAAAAAAGGAGTAAGTTCGTTGATTTGAAGACATGTTGGATTATTTAATGAAGAACGTTGTATGGAGGCCAGTTGAATGGTCAACCAAACACGTCTTGTTAACTATTACTTCATGTCGATGTTAAACTAAAAATATGTCTTAAATTGACTTAAGCTTCACACAAGGTCACAAGTATTGGTTGCACAGTAATGTTCGAACTACCAACTCAATAGAAACCTTCTATCAAACTTATCTCGTTAACCATTACATTATAGGGCAGCCCAACTAGAAATATTTACTAAGCTTCGTTTAGTTTAACACAAGGCCACATGTATAAAGTACACAGTAAAACTGGTGCTCCTGATATATATTTAGAGATTCTTGGTAAAAATCCATAGAAGAATCTGCTATTTTATTGGTCCTGACCTGGAATCTGGGTCTCAGTCCCTTTCTCAACCCAGTAATATAGATTTCTATGTCTTTTCTATAAATACTTTCATGGTAATTGTTCTGATGAACTTTGCTCTATTTTTTATTTTATTTATTCATCACCCCGACAGACAAATTGTACATATGGGATCTAGTTAGGATTTCATAGAGATTTTGAGGTATTATAGTGGTTGTAGGAAACTTGTAAGAATGTCTTGTTTAGGTGTGTTTATGTCAGTAATTGTGGCTAATTAAGTTTTAGATTAGACAGACTGAAGAGCAGCCTTTTCCTTATCCCTCCTTTTGGCCTTGTGCCACATTTTTGCAATCTAAAAATAAATATTAATTTCCGCTACGCTTGCTAGACTTTTAGAGTTGAAATGGCTAGATGTAACCGTAAGTTCTATGCTAACAGTTTCTTCTCTCGCACTTCTCTTTTGTATGAACTCTATTACGGCTTCTTGCTTCCCAATTAACTTTGATCTTCTTAAATTTTATGGCAATGTCAATCGTTATCTTCTATCTTCTTAATTCTTATTCTTTTTTCTTTTATTGTCCTCTTTACTTCATAAAAATTGTTTTTCTTATATTTTCTCACACTCAGTAACCTCTTCCGTCCTAGTGGCTTTATTGCCTTGATTGGGGTGAAATAATTAAAAAAAAGCTCGAACTGTCAGTTTAATCTTGATAAAAGTTACTTCATGTCATGTCGACCTTTACTAAACTTATCAAGTAAATGGTGCACAATTAAGATCAATTTAATTAAGGTCAACCAGTCGCCGTAAAAATATAATAAGCTGAATTTGACCTTTTGACATTGGTAGTGGAAGGTGAGTCGATTTTTCAGCACTCGGTTTCATAGCGTATCGTATAAGTAGTACCCTACAACGTAACAACTACCCTGGGTACATGGCAGCAGCCCCCAAAAAACTGCGACAGTTAGGTACAAGAGGAGGATAACAACACTCAGAAAACAGTCTGCCTGCCTTATGTAAAGGGGTTATCGGAGAAAATACAAAGGATCTGAGGTCCATATAACATCAAGGCAACCTTCAAAAGCTTGACGACACTTCGCAGATATCTCTTCCGAGTAAGACCCTCCCCCCATAGAGGAGAACATGACTAAAGACTGTGTGCACGCTATCCCGTGCAGCTGCGGAAAGAAATATAAAGGGGAGACAGGCCGCCCCCTTAAGGTAAGACTTCAAGAACACCAGAAAGCTGTAACACGAGGGGATGTGGAAAAATGAGGCGTGGCTGACCACATATGGAGAGAGAAGGGAGAACACGTCCTTCTGTGGGATCATGTTGAGATCATAAACAAGGAACACCATTGGAAAATTCGTAAACTTAAGAAATCAGCACATATGCTCGGCCAGAAAAATCTCCTGAGCCGACTAAGCATAGAAATGAATACAATATGGGAACCAGTAATAAGGAGTGCCAGAGAAAGACGATAATAACAAAAGTTGCAATATGAGCTCTGGTAAAAACATTTCATGATAACGGCAAAAAATTGCAATATGAGCACTGGTAAAAATGGTTGCTGAAAATATTAGGTTTATAATACCCAGGAATTCATACACGAGGACACATCGCACAGTGGAAAAAGTCGTTGGTTAGATCCAGTGACATGACCCAAAGAGTGTGAGTTCAATACCCGGTTAATGCAGTGGAGAACTTTCAGAGAGAAATTAATAGGAGATAACTGATAACTGACATCCATTAAACATGGCACGTGGAACTAGAACAGTCTACCCCAGTGAGCGAAATCAAGTGTTCAGTTCGACATTCCAACCACCGGAGCGTAGAACGGTAATAAATATGGCGACAAAGACAATAATTCGAATGATGTAAATAATGTTGTAGCGAACGAGATAAGTACCCCGGAAAAAGTTCGTGTTTTGTGTGCGATCTGCCGGGGAGGGATTGCCAAAAAGTAGTCAGCAAAACTTACCTCGTCAACCCAAGCGACAGCGCGTCGCGTGTATTCTGTGACGAAAAAAGAAACAAGTCCGTCGCAGGAGTCGCTATAAGAGTATATTAATATGCAAATTACGGAGCATCCTATCCCAGCTGTCGACGAATGGAAAAAATAGGTTCTGCCGATAAAAGCAGTTGGTGTTTTCGACTCGGGGAAGGAAAATTCGGGCATTTTTGGCTACGGCGTTCGTGAGTTATTTTCCTGACGCGTTACAAGTGATTTTCTTTCTTTGTGTTGTGAAAGCCACAAATTTGCTTTGAGAACGCTTACTCTTCAAATGTACATAATACTTCATCTCTCTGAGATTAGGTATTATGTACATTATTTACCTCAGAAATATAGACAGATACTGATGATATGTTTATATGGTCCTCTGTTGTGAGGAACCCGTTTCCAAAGTTTGTAAAATTATTTCTGATACACGCTACGACAAAATGGACAATTTTTTGCTGTCACGCATTTCGACCTTTAGTACTTCATCAGACTAAAGTGATGTTGATGTAACCACGCAAACGAAAGAAGGAAGATTTAAAAAAAAATGCTTCTCGATTTAAGAGAAAGCAATTTAATGAGATGAAAATGTTTAGAGATGGATTCATCGCTAGATCATCCACAGTAAATATATATCCAGATTCTTACAACGTTCCATTTTTCTTGGCAGATTTTCTATTATTTAATTTTAATCTTTTTTTTTTTTTAAGTACCTTCAACTTTGCCCTTATCAAGAACAGATATAGTATCTGTGTAGTAGTCAGAATTCCCTTGTCAACATCCTGGTATTCTTTGGCAAGCTCGACGTTTGAATGGGTGTGGCATGACGTCATGTGTAAAGGATACTGAGAATGAAGCCGCACAAAAATAATTTTTTTTCACTGAAGAAAGCTCAATGAATTAGACGACGTGGAAACCTCGGGTTGTATAGCCCTCTCATGTTAGGAGGTCAACGGCGCCAATTCGATAAAATGTTGCATCTTCTCTCGCGGCCAGTAATCGCTAGATGTTTTTGGGTCCAGAGTTGAAAGAACTTAAAAACAGAGAATTTTAATTATCTATTTTTATTAATGTCAACATGTACTAACTATCCAGTGGGGGTTGTTCCTCCCCCCACAGGGGAGCCGTTTTAGACAAGAAAAAGAACACGTCTCTATTGCTTGACGGTTAAGACTCGACTCGCTGAAAAAAAATTCTCTATTTATCATTCCCACGTTAATTCCGCCAATCAAAATTGACTTCCTTATTATATCTTCCATCTGACCTCAAAGGTAAACCAACGGAAGTCGGAGCCAAGATACACTTCCATTAAAAATTAAGAGTCTGCTAAATTATTCTTTAACACTTGACTCTTCCATTCTTGATATAAGTTCTATGCATAGAACAATTAGATTGGCAGTAAAGATAATACCGATGTCGATGATGAGGACAGTGCCTATGGCAGGCGATAATCACTTTATACAATAAAATATAAACATGAAAGATGAAGCAACAACAAACGTTCACATATTTTAGTTGGCGATTCTGCACTAAAACGACACAAGTGTTGATCTAATTACGCTCCTTTTATTTGTGATTATCAAGGCATTTCTGTATTTATTTCTTTTATTTCCTTATCCTCCAGCCAAACAAAGGCCTGGACAGTAAGTACAACTAACGTAAACATAAATTAAAAAACAAAACAAAAAATCGACATACAAAGTAGCAATTCATTATAAATGTTCAAAATGAAGAGAAAACCAATCCTTGTGTAATGTTAATGGTGTTCATATCGATTCTCTCCCTGTTAAAGAGCATTACTAATAAATTTTTCATTTCGAGGTTATGGATAAGGATACTTTGTCTAATGGAAACAAAATTAGATAAAGTGAAATAATGTTAGTCAACGCTGATCGCCACTATAACCATATGATTTGTAAACATTTTTCTTTTTAAGTACCATGTCATTTCCACCTCACGCTATCCTTTTTAGCGCTCAACAAATTCCTTCCTTCTGCTTTCTCTCCCAGACCACGTTCTGTCATCCACTTGCTTAAGCCCGCTAGGTATATCATGCGTTGTTTTCCCTTGTCTCTCCTTCCCTCTATTCGACCCGTGTGTATAAGATTTCCCATGCCTTCCTTTCTCATTATGTGTCTCAGTAACTTCAGCTACCTCTTCCTGGATACTGAGAATGCACTGGATTGAACATGTGAGCAACTATAAAAATGAAAACAAAAAAGGCTCTAATATGTAGAATCAAAATTAGACAGTTGAAATTTCTAGGAGACGTAATGAGGAAAGAAGTTGTAGAGATTTTGAAACTCACAGGACCTATTGAATGTAATAAGGAGAGCGTGAAATGGATGACAGAACAGAAAGTTGGATGGACGGTGAAAAAAAAAAACCTTACTACAAAAGACAGGAAGTTATGGAGTGGCATGATCCCCAATGTTCTGAAGGGTTACAGCACATAGAAGAAGAAGAAGAAGAAGAAGAAGAAGAAGAAGAAGAAGAAGAAGAAGAAGAAGAAGAAGAAGGGCAACAACAAAAGCAAGAACAAGAAGAGGAAGGACAAGAAGAAGAGGAAAAAGAAGAAAAAGAACAACAACAGAAAGAAGAAAAAGAAGAAGACGAAGAAGAAGAAGAAGAACAATAACAACAACAAAAAGAAGAAAAAGAACTAGACGAAAAAGAAATGGAAGGGAAGAAGAACAAGAAGAACAAGAGAAAGAATAATAAGAAGAAGGAGAACAACAACAACAACAACAATAGGAAGAAGAAGAAAACAACAACAACAACAACAACGACAGCAAGAGAAAGAAGTAGAACAAGAAGAACAAGAATAAGTAGAAGAAGAAGAGGAAGAAGAAATGGCTTGTGAAACTGAAACAGGGATTAGGAAAGATTGCAAAAAGAAAAAAAAAAACTTACTCACAGCGAAGAAAGGACATAAAATTATGGAGAAATGGTTACCCACGTTCTGGAGGGACACGAGACAAAGAGGAAGAATAAGGGGCATGTGTATATAGTTGGCATAACTGGGATTAGGAGGGATAGCAAAAAGACAAAATTTACTAAGAGAAACAAAGGACAGTAAACTGTGGATAACTATAATCGCCCACGTCCTAAAGGAACACGGCACACAGAAGAAGAAGAAGAAGAACAACAAGAACAAGAAGAAGAAGAACAAGAAGAACAAGAAGAAGAAGAACAAGAACAAGAAGAAGAAGGACCTTGTGCAGATGGTTAACAGAACGGGGATAGGGAAAGATACCAAAAAGAAAAAAAAATCTTACAAAGTGTTACAAAGGATCGTCCACATCTTGCAAGGTTCATATCGGTATCATTGTCTTCTGTAAAATTATAGTTTAATAAGTTCCTGTTTAAATGTATAATTTTCGCATGTTTTGATTAACAATTTCTTACAGGTAATAATAATAATAATAATAATAATAATAATAACAGTAATGTTAATAATAATGATAATAATAGTAATAATAATAATGACAATAATAATAAAAATAATAATGATAATAATAATACTAATAAATAATATAAATGATAATAATAATGATAGCAATAATAATAGTAATAAAATGATAATAATAATAATAATAATAATAATAATAATAATAATAAATACCTGTGATAATGACAAATGTACGACGTATGGTAAAGAAGGGAAAACAATATGTAATGTTGCTTGTGAATACAAAATTTGTAATAGAGGGCATCTAAAATAGACATGATAATGTTCGAAGAACTATACAATAATAATAATAATAATAATAATAATAATAATGATAATAATAATTATTATTACTATTATTATTATTATCATTATTATTATTAATGTTATTAATGTTATGATTATTATTATTAATAATAATTATTATTATTAATGTTGTTATTATTATTAATAATAATAATAATAATAATTATTATTTTATTATTAATGTTATTAATGTTATTATTATTATTATTAATAATAATAATTATTATTATTAATGCTATTAATGTTACTATTATTATTATTATTAATAATAATAATAATAATAATAATAATAATAATACGGTTAAGAAGAGAGCGCGTTTTAAGAAGAGAAAAGGAAAATAAAAAAGTGTTTGACAATGTTAAACAATATTTCAACAGAAAGTCTGTCTTCTTCAAATTAAAAACCATAAGAAATAATAATAATAATAATAATAATAATAATAATAATAGTTAAATGAAAAGCACGATTTAAGAAAAGATAACGAAAAAAAAACACAGTGTTTGACAATGTTAAACAATATTTCAGCAGAAAGTCTCTTCAAGTTATATCTAAAAAAAATTCAAGTATAAAAATACATAAATCTACAATTTAATAGAATTGTTGCCTACACATTACTATTAAAGTGTACAAGAATTTCATAATTTCTTTCTGAATAAATGGTGAGATAAATATGTCTTTCATTATGTTCTACCATCTCGTATACTGTAATACAAATGGCAAACAACTAACCCACTATCGTAGACTCCACTGTGGAATATTCGGGGCCACAAACGTCAACAATTTTAGGCGTTGTTGCTATGGTTCCACTAAAAATTAGATTTCTTACAGGATAAAGTTTCTAGCCACATTCTCAGCCTGTTTTGCATTTAGGGTCGTCCTTCTCCTATGTTGGTTGCCAAGTAAGTCAAACGAGCCCAAACCTCCTTGCTAATTAACATTGAGCAAAAAGAGATAGCTTAACACCTTTCTCAAGTATGTGAATGTAACGATCTCGACTGGAATTCGAACTCGGCTCTCCGATTTATCTTTCCTAAGCGCTATACGTTACATCACCCACACATCCGAAATTATGAAGGAATCTCCAAAACAAAATCCGTAAATAATTAAGTAAGATAATTAATAATATGTAAGATAAATATCAATTATATGCCTTCCCTGGATCTAGGTGTTAATGTTGAATCGTCTTTTATCGGGATTCGAACTCGTTCGGCGGTATTTATAGGAGCTCACACCCGCTCACCTTTAAGCGAATAATAAGACAAAAAAAACAAAACAAAACAAAACAAACAAACTTATGCATCCTACCATATATCGTTACTTTCTGATAGGCTGAAAATAATCTCAGGTGCAGTCATAACTGGAGTAATAAAAATGAATTTTAGGCTAGAAAACTGAATTCTATACACACCAGTTATTGACTAAATTATGGATAGTATAAGATCTTTAAGTTATACAATAAGAAAGAAAGCTCCGACCGCTATATGAAAGTTATATAGATCGAAAATAGAATAAATGACGAAGCATTAATCGTAAAATGGCCCCGTTTCGATCTTTCTACGATTATTGATTTCCTAAGCGAAACAACGATAAATTACAAAAGTTTATTTCTTTTCGTCTATCGCGAATTAGAATCTTGGGAAGAAACAAAAAAAAAAAAAAAGATTTCGAAAAGGATATATCGCTTGAAGTAAATAAGATCAGGGCACAAAATCATTGGAGATATTGAATCTTATCACAACACACCACTGTAGACTACACACTAAAGAAGTAAATATAGAATTAATTAAAGAAAAAATAAATCAAAACAAAACGCAACAGCATAATAATAAGATACAAAAGGTTTCCAAACTGATCGATAAAGAACAAATGCTTGAGTTGAAGATTTTGTTTCCGGGCTTAGATTGATTGAGGCAGATATCTGGCGCATGCGTACTGAGATGAATGCAAAAATGGCTTCTAAATTTTTTGATTATTTTTTTTATTTTTTTAAACATGCAATGCTTGCACGAGAAGCATTAATATTTCTTTAACTAAATTTAGAAAGCAAATTTCGATCAAACTAAGTTTTCATTTTAGAACGTTGCAAAAGTTACAACTACGACAACTACCACAGATATAATCGTGACATTCGAGTATAGCCCATGATTAAGGTTCAAAATAAAAGCAGCAAAAGAAGTCAAGATAGCAATATATATATATATATATATATATATATATATATATATATATATATATATATATATATATATATATATATATATATTACCTCAACGGTAGCACAATTCTGAGTTCCATGCACAACACATTTTTATTACTATCTTATCACACCAAAGATTATATTAAACGCATATTACTCACAAGAAGCATTTGATGTACTGTGCCATGTCTTTTATATAAATAGGATGTGTATATCTATATGTATGGCGTTATAATTATCTTAAGTGTGTATAGAAGTATCTTTGTGATATTATGTTTCTTCCATGTACCTAGAGCTTATATATATATGATTTAGATATATGTGAGGCCATATGACCACAAGCAATATAGCTCTATAATTATATATATGAATACGCTTTATTTATATTCATATGTGTGCACGCGTATGGATATATATATATATATATATATATATATATATATATATATATATATATATATATATATAATTATTTTTGAAAATATGATTCCATCGCTACATAAGAGTTCTCATGTTTCAAAACAAGAGCCGAAAACTTCAATTAAATTATTAGAATTAAATTGAATTAAAGTACCATTAAAGTGAAATAAATATATATATATATATATATATATATATATATATATATATATATATACAAAGAGAGCTCAATGTCAGGATTCTGTATTCATTATATATATATATATATATATATATATATATATATATATATATATATATATATATAGGTAACTCCACTAATTCGCCGAAAAAGAGCATACCATGATGAAAAAAGGCCTCAAACGTAAGGATAAAAATATTTTATCGTTTAAATATTTATGTTATTATTAAGAGGAAAGACCAAAGTATTTTGATTATTTTATTACATTTTTCCTTATCCCTTGTTGAGCAATCGAAATTTTGATTAAATATCTTGTTTTTCTTGCGTCAGCGGAATACCATTAAAAAGAATGTCTTAATCGTGGTGTCTTGTTTTTGATGTGCTAAATGGCAGTTACATCAATGTATTGACAGCTTAGGTCGGGAGAAGCTATCGGACGGAAGAACAGAGTTGACATAATTTTTTCGAATTATGAGTGAAGTAACTTATTTAATTAAGTACACAGTAATTTTAGAAAAATGACAAATACTTTCAGCAATCTAATATTTTATTGATTTTTTTCTTTTGTTTAAGTACTTTAGCTTTATAGCCTTACGTTTGAAGATGATTTTTGAAAAAATAAATTTTTTATTGCTAACAATAAAATAAATTTAAAATTTCATAACTGAGAGTGAGATAAAATTTCATAAGAGTGGTACCTAAATTTTGCGTACATCTCTTATGAAATTTTATGGTAATATTTTTATTTGTTACTAGTAGTAGAGCCCGGCGTTGCCCGGGGATGTAACAGTAAGAGATAGATCAAGTATCGACCATCATAAAGACTGAAAAATAAAATTGACAAAGATTATTGTTTAAGGTTGACGGACACGCATGTCTTAATTAATTTTTTTTTTTTTTTTTTGTTTTCAATCGTTATGAGTCTACCGATTGAATAGAATTTTATTATAAACAATTGTCTTGCAAATGGAATTTTTAAAGCATTCTGAATGTAAAAATAAAGAAAAAGTGTGCAAGACAATAAGAAACACTACCTGACAAAAAAAGTGAAGTTTTGTTGAAATCAGTTGAAAAATGTAGGAAATCCGATCCCATATATAAACGAA